GTATCATTATTATTTCCCGTTTTTATAAGTAAGGTGATAAGGTGACGAATTAAAGGGTAAATACACTTCACGCATAAATAAAATGTAATTTATTCAATTATTGTAGCAAATGCAACTTTGCTTCATTGACAATCCCACTACATAATACGATATGGGATAATGCCTGGCCTTCTTTAAAATTCGCATCTACCCTGTGACACAAAGACACTCGTGGCAATGTGGCCGAGTGGATAATGTGTCGAAATTATACGCTGCAGTGTCATGGTTTGAGTCCCGCTAGGGGTGCTGATGAGACCAGGGCGAGGTCGAAACCACCGTTCACTTCAGTCTGGATGTGAACACCTTTTGGGGAGAAAGGCTATGTGAAATTAAATGGAAACCTAAGGTCTACTCATAGCATTGTGAGAAAATTTAACTATCATTCCCTTAATTAACTTAAATATAATTTGGTGAATACACTTCATAAATAGTATCATAGTTGACCTCAAAACCCCATTTATTACCCATTTCCATTCTAGTTTGCTTAGCCTTTTAGAGAGAACACTCTAAGGAGCTACCTTAGAAATTATCCATCACACACTTTTATTCGAAACAGAAGTGAGTTCAACAATTATAAATCAATCGGTTTGTTGAGACCCAACTCTAATTAGCATACATTAAGTGAAGTATATTTGCACTGTGACATCTATTCATATAATTGTGAAAAAACTCCACAATCAGGCTTTACATCGCATTAGTATGAGCCTTAGTTTTACTCATGAATTACTGATACCTTCAGAGCATACGCCCACTGAATATAAGTAATGCCGTCGATTATAAGTGATACATTATCCTGGCACCCATTGCTTGCAGAATCTTCTGCCTACACTTTGTCTGCCAGCCTAACTTCACCTCTGGCATTTGGTAAAGACATTGATTTGGAAGTATGCTTATTTATAGATTCTAGTATGATATGTATTTGCACAGGCGATGAGACAAGTTAGATGATGCATTAATGTACATTGTTTGCGACCTGAGGTCAAATTTACAGAAAAAATGCGCTTGACATGGGATTAGGCAAAATCGACGAGTCGTGAAGGGAGTAGAAAACATGTTCACTGACTTGTACACTAGTGCACATGTATGTGTGGATGAGTGTGTGTAGCTATGGTGTTTTGAGGAGTAATTATTGAAGACAGGGTTTAGTTCCGAAAACAAGAAGACAATTTTTGGCCCAACCAGGGCAGGAAAGATGTGCCGGCGACCACAAGGCTCGAGCTGAGAGTGGTCTCCTGGGCTGATGCTGAGCTTCATCTGCCGCTGTCGACGCCACCCATTTTGCCCATAGTCGGTCCGTTGCTATCCTTCACCCAGCGAGTCAGTCTCGGGCCGTTGAGGATCAGCATGGCAGAGATGCAAATGCATGGGTGACCGGTCAAATGAAGCCGTCTTGGTCATCAGATTGGAGAGACCCTTCGCTCGAGGCCAGGCCGGCTGAGCAGGCGAATGCGGCAGAGCCAAATGGTCCAAATCTGGCCAGGCAGCATAGAAACCGGGGGGATAGGCTAAACTCTGACCGGCCACCTGGTCTCTGGGGCCCGTCACAAAAACGGACCCCTTCGGAGGCCCACCTTCGTCACCTCCTATCCTACACCATTCCTCCTCCTCCTCTTCCTCCTCTTCATCATCGTCATCAGCATCATCATCATCATCTCCTTCCTCTTCTTCTTCTGCTTCTTCTTCTTCCTCTCCTTCTTCTTCATCATCTTCTTCTTCTTCTTCTTCTTCTTCTTCTTCCTCTTCATGTTCTACTGCCTCATCTGTTGTATCGTCTCTTTGTTGTGCTCCATAATACTTCTCTTGATACTTACGTCGTTGTTGCGTCGTCCCACCGATTCGTATCATTTCAACCTCAACCTCGCTGGTATGCTTCAGACCAGCAGACGTTGAGGTGTCGAGATGCTGGAGAAACAAGGAGTCATCAAACCTGTCGGTCCAAGAGTCCGAAGCAGCCCCTCGTCCACTGCCATCCGCCTTGAGTGGGACCACAAGAGGATTGAGTCTGTCTGGCTTGGAGGTTAGAAAATGGGCCTCTTCCTCGCCTCGATCCGACGGTCCAGGCAGATGTGCGATAGGCGCCTGGAAGAGGCCGCAGTGTGGATGTCCCTGTAGGTGTCCGGAGGTGTTCGAGCCCGGCTGGAAATGGTGCTGAGGCAGTTGGTGCTGCTCCGGTTGGTAGTGGTAGTTGGTCTGTACCGGACTGGGCGACACCACATGTGGCCCTCGGGGATACTTGTGTGAGCCGAGGGTATGAGAAACCGGGTGTGGAGCGCCTGTGTGCATCGTGCTGAGGGTGTGCTGAGGATGGAGGGGATGTAGGGAGTGGGTTGGCTGACGAAAAAGCGCGATTGGAGGATCGTTCGAGCTGACTGGGCAGTCATGAAAAGGATCCAGCTGCAGACCGTCCGAAGGGGGTCGCGGTTGTCTGGGGCCCAGCGGCAACGGAGGTGTCGTGGAGACGGAGTTGACGCGAAAGATGGCCGAAAAGGCCGGTGAATTCGGAGGCAGATGAGAGAGTGTGGGATGGCTGAGTGGCTGACCGAGGTGGGCGAAGCTGGACGAGACGAGAAAGTCGTCTCGGAAAGCCTCGCTCGGACGCAGAAGGTTGCCAGTCGGGCCCGATCCGCAGTCGCCACACATCAGATCGCTCCGACCTCCGACCGCCCGGTCAGCCGGTCCAGCCGGTCTGGTCGAGTCCGGCTTCGGGCCGCAAATGCACGACTCGGAGCTGAGACCGTTGGAGAAATAGCTCTGTAGGCAGGAGCCACCGGCGGGTATAGCAACGTTGCTGCAGCAGGCGTTGCCAGGCAACTGGCTGGCCTCCAGCTTCAACGGCATGAAGCCTGTCGTCGAGAAGGGGAGTGGTAGTTTGGCCTCGTAGCCCAGGTTGGAGCTGAAGCCAAACACATCATATCTGAAGGTGAGGACGAGAGAAGGAAAAATTCATGTATCGTCAGGCCGGCAGACACAAATGTTGTTATGGAGATTTTGATTTGAAATTAAATTGCATGATGGCGAGAGTAGTGGGTCGAGCAACCCACAATAAAGCGGTGGATGAACGAAACATCCTACCTCGTTTCGGGCAAACATACACAATCAGATGTGGATCCTATTCTGGAAAACGTATATTTTCGCGACAACCAGTAGAGCATTGGTATGAAATGTATTTGAGTTGTGTTCACCTTATTTCGTTTAGGGTGATGAAGGACGACTGGTAGTAGAATTTTCCCACAATGCTATGAGTAGAGCTGACTTTTCCATTGAATTTCACTTAGCCTCGCTTTCCCAAAAGGTGTTCTCATCACGAGTGGACTGCAGTATCGATCTGCCTAGGTCTTATTAACACCCCCAGCACTGTCATGGTTAAACTCCCGGTGGGGGTGTTTCGAATGAGGTCGAAACTGCAGTCCATCTTGGATGAGAACACTTTTTGGGAAAGCAAAGTTAAGTGAAATTAAATGGAAATATCAGCTTTACACATATCAATGTGGGAAAATTCAACTACAAGTTCTTCAACACCTTAAACGAAATTGAGTGAATACAACTCATATATCTGATTTTATGGTAGTCTCGAAAACCTACTCAGTAATGAAATGTATTTTACTTATTTCGTTTCAGGTGATGAAGTCTGATGGTTGCATTTTTCCGCAATGATATGAGGAAGCCTTAAGTCTCAGTTGAATTTCACTTAGTCTCGCTTCTCAAATGGTATTCTTATCCAGGCTGGACTGAAATGCAGTTTCGACCTCACCTGAACTGGTATCATCTACACCCCCAGCGGGAGTAGAAACTCGGGTTGTGGTACGACAAGCATTTCTCCACACTAAAACCAGTGTCATTGGGTGGAAGAACATAAGAAACATTTCCCAAGTCCCAATTTTGTGATGGGATTGCCGATCAAGCAAAATTGTATTTGCTATAACATAGCTATACATTAATTATTTTTCTTAGATATGAAGGCCGAGATAGTGTAGCTTTTGTTTAGTCACAGTCTCCTTTAGTTTTATAGTTTTGGTTCGCAAATTAGTCGGAGCGTCAAGAGGGCTTTTTTAAAAGCCCCTAGTCCCGTGTTCTCTGCTATAGTATTCATGATTTCCAGAATTGGACTTGGTACATTC